CACATAACTCACATAACTTAAATAACCCACATAACTCACATAACTTAAATAACCCACATAACTCACATAACTTACATAACTCACATAACTTACATAACTCCCATAACCTAAATAACCCACAACACTCACATAACTTACATAACTTACAAAAGTCACATAACTCACATAACTTACAAAACTCACAAAGCTCACATAACTCACAAAACTTACATAACTTACATAACTCACATAACTCACAAAACTTACATAATTCACATAAACTCACAAAACTCACACACACATAACTCACATAACTTTCATAACTTACATTACTCACATAACTTACATAACTTACATAACTCACATAATTCACATAACTCACATAACTAACAAAACTTACATAACTTACAAAAATTAAAAAAACTCACATAACTCACATAACCCAGATAACTCACATAACTTACATAACTCACATAACTAACATAACTCACAGAACTCACATAACTCACACACATAACTCACAAAACTCACATAACTCACAAAACTCACATAACTCACATAACTCACAAAACTCACATAACTCACATAACCCACATAACTCACAACCCTCACAGAACTCACATAGCTCACATAACTCACAGAACTGACAAAACTCACATAACTCACAAAATTTACACATAACTTACACATAACTTACACACAACTCACATAACTCACACAACTCTCACAAATCTCACAAAACTCACATAACCCACATAACTTACATAACTCACAAAACCCACATGACTTACACAACTCACATAATTCACAAAACTCACATAACTCACATAACTCACAGAACTCACATAAGTCACATAACTCACATAACTTACATAACTTACATAACTCACATAACTCACAAAACTCACATAACTCACATAACTCACAAAACTCACATAACTCACATAACTCACAAAACTCACATAACTCACAAAACTCACATAACTTACATAACTCACACAACTCACATAGCGCACATAACTCACATAACTCACATAAATCACACAACTCACACAACTCACAGAACTCACAACCCTCACAGAACCCACAAAACTCACAGAACTCACATAACTCACAACCCTCACAAAAACTCACAGAACTCACAGAACTCACATAACTCACAACCCTCACAGAACTCACAGAACTCACATAACTCACATAACTCACGCAGCTCACATAACTCACACAGCTCACATAACTCACATAACTCACATAACTCACAAAACTCACACAACTCACATAAGTGACATAACTCACAGAACTCACAAAACTGACATACCTCACATACCTCACATAACTTACATAACTCGCAGAACTCACATAACTTACACATAACTTACACATAACCTACACATAACTTACACATAACTTACACATAACTTACACATAACTCACATAACTCACATAACTCACAAAACTCACAAAACTCACACAACTCACATAGCTCACAGAACTCACATAACTCACAAAACTTGCATAACTCACAGAACTCACATAACTCACAGAACTCACAGAACCAACATAACCCACAAAACTCACAAAACTCACATAACTCACATAACTCACACAACTCACATAGCTCACATATCTTACAAACTCACATAACTCACATAACTCACATAGCTCACATAGCTCACAAAACTCACACAACTCACACAACCCTCACAACTCTCACAACTCTCACAAAACACATAACTCACATAACTCGCAGAACTCACATAACTCACATAACTCACATAACTCACAGAACTCACAGAACTCACATAGCTCACAGAACTCACAGAACTCACAGAACTCACAGAACTCACATAACCCACACAACTCACATAACTCACATAGCTCACATAACTCACAGAACTCACAAACCTCACAGAACTCACAGAACTCACATAACTCACATAACTCACAACCCTCACAGAACTCACAGAACTCACAACCCTCACAGAACTCACAGAACTCACATAACTCACAGAACTCACATAACCCACATAACCCTCACAAATCTCACAAAACACATAACTCACATAACTCGCAGAACTCACATAACTCACATAACTCACAAAACTCACATAACTCACATAACTCACAAAACTCACATAACTCACAAAACTCACAGAACTCACAAAACTCACATAACTCACATAACTCACAACCCTCACAGAACTCACATAGCTCACATAACTCACATAACTCACATAAATCACACAACTCACACAACTCACACAACTCACACAACTCTCACAAATCTCACAAAACACATAACTCACATAACTCGCAGAACTCACATAACTCACATACCTCACATAACTTACATAACTCGCAGAACTCGCGTAACTCACATAATTCACATAACTCACAGAACTTACATAACTCACATAACTCACATAACTCACATAACTCACATAACTTACATAACTCACACAACTCACATAGCGCACATAACTCACATAACTCACATAAATCACACAACTCACATAACTCACATAAATCACACAACTCACACAACTCACACAACTCACACAACTCTCACAAATCTCACAAAACACACAACTCACATAACTCGCAGAACTCACATAACTCGCGTGGCTCGCAGAACTCACAACCCTCACAGAACTCGCGTAACTCACATAACTCACATAACTTAACCCACATAAATCACAAAACTCACATAACTCACACAACTCACACACATAACTCACATAACTCACAAAACTCAGATAACTCACATAACTCACATAACTCACAAAACTCACATAACTCACATAACTCACATAACTCACAGAACTCACAAAACTTACAAGACTCACATAACTTACATAACTCACATAACTTACATAACTTGTAAAACTTACATAACTCACATAGCTCACAAAACTCACATAACTTACATAACTCACATAGTTCACATAACTCACAAACCTCACAAAACTCACATAACTCACATAAGTCACATAACTCACATAACTTACATAACTTACATAACTCACAGAACTCACAGAACTCACAGAACTCACATAGCTAACATAACTCACAGAACTCACTTAACTCACACACATAACTCACGTAATTCACATAACTCACAACCCTCACATAACCCACATAACTCACAGAACTCACAGAACTCACATAGCTCACAGAACTCACAGAACTCACATAAATCACATAACTCACAAAACTCACAGAACTCACATAAGTCACATAACTCACATAACTCACATAAATCACACAACTCACACAACTCACACAACTCACAGAACTCACAGAAATCACAGAACTCACATAACTCACAAAACTCACAAAACTCACATAACTCACAAAACTCACACACATAACTCACATAACTCACATAATTTACATAACTTACATAACTCACACACACATAACTCACATAACTTACATAAATCACAAAACTCACATAACTTACATAACTTACATAACTCACATAACTCACATAACTTACATAACTCACATAAATCACATAACTTATATAACTCACATAACTTGCATAACTCACATAACTCACAAAACTCACACACATAACTCACATAACTCACATAACTCACATAACTTACATAACTTACATAACTCACATAACATACATAACTTACATAACTCACATAACTCACATAACATACATAACTTACATAACTCATAACTTACATAACTTGGATAACTCACATAACTCACATAACTTACATAACTCACACAACTCACATAACTCACATAACTCACATAACTCACATAAGTCACATAATTGACATAACTTACATAATTTGCATAACTTACATAACTCACATAACTCACATAACTCACATAACTCACATAACTTACATAACTTACATAACTCACATAACTTACATAACTCACATAACTCACATAACTTACATAACTTACATAACTCACATAACTCACATAACTTACATAACTCACATAACTTACATAACTCACATAACTTACATAACATACATAACTTACATAACCTTCAACATCTTCAACATCTTCATCCATCTATCCTGACCCCGTGGCGGTGAACTGATTCTGACTAGGAGCAAATACCCAGACTCGAAAGCGTCGCCCTGCGTCGTGGGCTTGTCGAACCAATGGCAGCTGAAAACATTGGCGATCGGAACACCTAGGAATCTGTTTATTTAAGAGTGTTATAAAAGAGTGTTATAAATGTGAACAATTTAATAAACATGTCACATCGCTTGCTTTGCACATGTCAACTCGGCGATCCGGACCTCTACGGTATGACGATAAAATAGGCGAGCAACACCTGAAATCAGAACTTCCAGGAACAAAAGGACCAGAAGTCACCAGAAAAGTGCCCTGAAATCATGGACAATCCTTTCATAAAATATATGCCTGCAACATCCATCCACCTGTGCTGATTTTTGGCCTCTTAGCAAAGAGTACAAAATGACAGCCCCGTAAAATAAAAACGTCCCGGGCAGTTTTCTTGAGCAAGAAAGTGTACTTGGAAGATCAAATCATATCCAAGTAGTTTTATTTCAAGATGTGATTCCAATGCTACAACTGTTGGATACTGTTGGTGCCTGCTACCACCAAATCAGCGACTGAAGAGCATGCATGACATGGAAGTATGAGATAAGCAAGTTGCTAGAATGGTGTGAAAGAGGGCAAAGCCATGGTCCCAGCGTCAAAAAATCAGAACAGGATCGCTCAATTTGATTCTGTGCGTCGTGTGCGCCCATGATTTGTCATCCGCACCATACCTGAAAACCTCGAAATTCGAAATTGAAAATGGACGGTTTTCCAATTACGGCAAATTACGCCTTCTTCCCAACAAATTACGCCCCTTAAAAGCGTAGGATTTGGGCAAAAATGAAACCTTGTTATGCCATACCTTATCATACCAGTATAATTAGATGATCCCGGGTTTTGTGATCAGGAACTGATCATGATCACACCACAAACAAAATTGCCATTCGTCGCCGCAGTTGATGGTAAGCCTATCATGCCGTGAAAACATATTACAACAGCAACGAAGGTTCTGTGATTAATATTCAGCCTTGCACCTGCAACATCGAACAACAGGAAACTGGCGTCAAACCTCACATCTGTAATGATAGAACGCTCCAAAAGTCAAAAAACGACCCTTAGATAAAAAGGTTGGGGTAAGGAGCCAAAAAACGAAACCCTCAGGAACATCTAGGTATAATATATATATATATCGTTATTTTTCCTTTTCACGAAATAAGGAACTTAAGTTTGGTCCGTGCAACTAATATTTTATAATTAAGGGTCGTTTTCGTCTCACAGTCGCCCTGGAGTTTCAGCAGGCAATTTGCCATAATTTGCCATAATTTGCCTGCTAGCAATCGATCGCTATCACCGAACAGCAGTCGTGAATCAACCTGCAGGACCAGTCCATTTGTTCACCAGTCATGACAAGGGAGTTGGAAGCGCTTTAAAGAGCAGCTGTTAAGGTAACTTTGTTTGACAAACTTCCTTCTCAGTCCGTCAGTAACACGTTTGCATTTGGACTGAATTGCAAAACAGCCCCCGTGACATTTCATGACTCATGACATCTCATGACTCACGACCCGTTTCCAAGACAAACTCCAACACCTGCGAAGGTCTTCGTTCACAGCATTCCTGGCACTCAACAGTCACACCAGGAAGAAACTGTTTCACCATTTTTTGAACCTATATCATAACAAAGAAAACATATCGCAGCATGGCTGTCTCTCCAAGAAGTCATGCTATATTGATATATTGACCATATCCACATTACTGAAAGATACTGAAAGTGTTGTTCTTCCAGGGTTCGCAATGCAGCAACCAAATAAAATCCGAAGATATCCGATGTAGCGTGCATGATCTTGGGCTCTGCCTCATGATGAAATCGTCGGCGAAACGACTGGCAGTCGGCTGACATGAATTTACAAAAGAAAAAAGTGAAAAATATGAGAAAAACAAGTGAAAAAAATGAACAAAAAGTGAAAAACACGCAAAGTCAGGGTGCGTTTTCGTAGCAATAGTCATTGCGGAAACCACAGAATATTCTTTGGAGGGCCGTGCCCTTCTCAATGCATCAAACTGAATCAAACTGAATCAAACTGGCCAGAAATCATCAGAAATCATTGATGCGGAATCGTGGAATGTTTCTGATGATTGTCTATCTTTGTTTTAATGCTGTGCCTGAAAGCAGGCTGCGCCACGCCATGTTCGCACCTGCCACTTCCCCAGAATGTCCTCAAGTCCGACACAAAACAGCCTGACCTCCAAGCAGGATGCGTAAAACGCGCCTTTAAAGTTCTTTAAAACATTTAAAGGCTTCAGACACACTTGAAAGAACTTAAAAACATATTTAAAAAATGTAAATAAACCAAACTTGAACCTTTTGAAGTTCCTTTGAAACCAAATTTCCATCCAGTTCCATTTCCGGGGTCTGATCCACTGTTCCTGTCAGAAAGCTCTCTGGTAAACTTCTCTGAATCCGACGCCTGAACCTGAGGGAGGCCCGTCATACCTTTACAGAGTTCAATACAGTTTGCCTGCTAAACTGCGGCTCTTTCCAAACAGTACAAACAATACATTCAGTTTCTGTACATTCTACATCATTCTACTTTCCCTTCATTTCCCTTCTACATCCTTCATCATCCTTCTACCTTCATCTACTTTCCTCTTTGCGCTATGCTTTTCTTGAAAGTTGTTGCGCTTTTGCTCAGGTCTGTGGATGGGACTGGATGGGACTGGATGGGACTGGATGGGACTGGTCAGAAATGAGAATTATGAGTCCGTCTGAGTCCGTCTGAGTCCGTCTGAGTACCGTGTTTTGTGACATCTGTCATTCACGTAAATGGCAAACAAAATTTAAACGCAGCGCTGCTAACTGGTTTAACCAATCTTGTGAGATCTGATAAGTCTATTGTGCACTAAGTGCAGTATTGTACAACTTGATTTGTCATGAGCCATACCAGTGTTTGTTCACTTGATCTGACAAGTATTCTCGCTTTTTGATCGCAGAAGACACAAGATCAAATTGATCAAATCCAGCATGTCACAGCATGATGCAAACAAATGCAGACCCATGCCACTGTCCGTGAGAGGCTGACGTTGAGTGCAAGCCAGGTTCAGATTCAGACGCAGAGCATATAGAAATAGAGAAAACATGAGAAAACGACAAACTATGACAAACTGCATTCTTTTCCCGCATCTTTTCCCACATCAACTGTGGTTCTTCCACGTTCTTCCTTTTTTTCAGCGTCTCAAATTGCATCACATGCAGTGCATTTGGACCTCCGACCAAGCTTGGAGACCTGGATAGACCTGGAAATTGATATCACTGGTATTTCGAGTGTAGCATAGCTGAAGGAGAAAATGATTGAAACTGATATAAAAAATGTTTTTCTGTATTCTGACTGCACGCAGAAAATTCATTGTGCTAATTCTACCGTTCTCTGCTGGCCCTGAATGTGCGGAGGGCCAGAATCCATTCTGTCCTGGAAGCAAAGCTCCACTGGAAACCTGCAAAGTCAACACTGGCCACAGTGGTTTTCCAGGCAAAGTATGGCAAAGTAGTGAAAGAAGTCATGGGGTCATGCAGAAGTCAAAAAGTTACTGTGGCTGATTGGGAAAACTGCGTCCCTTCTCTTCTGTTCTGCAGAAACACCTGTGGCAAGTGACAGCTTCGTCGAATTAAATCCAGGGCACAAACACGTTGAATCCTAGCAGTTTTTTCATTGAAACTGTTCAAACTGTTCAAGTCTAAATCAGAAGCACTTCAGTGCCCTGTACCGGAACAAGGAGAGGCACCAAACCTGGTGAGAGTACTCAGATACATCGAATCCCAAGAAATATCTCAAGTATATCTCAAGTGATTTCTTTACAACGCAATTGCCTTGGACAGTGACCGCGAGATTCCGAATGTGCAAACTGTCTCTCGATTTGGTTGCCGAATTTGACTAGTCCTTTAATGAAACTTTAGTGCTTTCCCCCAAGCAAATGTATCAAATGTATTCAAATGTATCAAGCGCATCAATCTATCCACCAAGCACTGAGATCTGACTCTGACCAGGCAGTGCAGGAGCAAAGCTATGGCATTGAAAAGTCGGCAGGCCAACCCCCAACCTGCTTAAAGCATTTCCTGAATCTTCTCAATCAATTTAAACGATCTTAAAGCCAGAAAATCATCTGCGAATCTGCGACACTGGTGGCACATCCAAGTGGCACCACGTGGCACTGGGACCCGAGGTGAGTTACCGATGTCCGGAATGATCCGGAATGCGCACCTTTCTGCGGGCATTGACATGGCTCAGCATGGCTCAGCATGGCGCAGCATGGCTCAGCATGGCTCGGCATCTTAGGCGGGCTCGGCACCCGCTTCAGCTTCCGTGACTGGCGTCACTGGCGTCTGGCAACAAACGGCCCAGGTGGGCCAGGTGGGCCAAGTCGGCCACGTCGTCGCGAAAGACACGGGCTCTGCCATCTCACACGTGGAGCATGAACTGCAGCTGTTGCAACCCTCAGCCGAAACTTCAAAGTACTTCAACAAGTTCCAACAGTTCCAACAGCTGGGCACGATGCTGCAACATACCTGAAACATACCTGAAACATACCTGAACTAACATGTTTCAGCAACTAAAATGTCAAGCTGAGTAGCTGATAGCCCGATTGGCTGAAAACATTGGAGGTATCCGTTGTCTCTTCCATCCTCCTTGCGTTGGATGTCACGCCTAGCTTGCATCAGCTGTAGCAGCTTTCATAGCTCGAGTTTGGGCATCCGGTGCGTCCCAGAAAACACAGCCAAACTGTTTTCGTTTTCTCGATATTGAATTATTGCTTCAGGTCGCTTCAGGTCGCTTCAGGTTTCACCTTTCCATTAAATTCCGCCAATTGACAACAATTGACAACAACTGAACTCTGGAGACTCCGCGATCTGAATTGACGTCCTACCGTGTTCTTTCTGGTCAGCTGGATTGGAACTCATCAGATCTAGCACGGACGTATCCTATTCTGTCCTTTTTACGTACTGTCCTATTGGTTCACTCAATCTGACAGATCTGAAAGATCTGAAACTGAACTCACCATTTTGAACTGTCACATATGGTCACTGTCCAACAAATGTTCGTCCGGACAGCACAGTCCTTGACGTGCTCTGCATCATCTTGACTCGGATTGCTCTGTGGCTGCTTGGCATCGTCTCGGCCATCGAACTTTGCCTTTCTCAGGAGGCTTTTTACTGTACAAGACTTGTTCATCGAAAGTAGATACTTCGAAATGCTTCCAATTGGACCCAACATCTCTTGCAGGCTGTTCAATTTGCTAATTTTCTCCGTCCTAAAGCTGGTCCTGCAGTCAACTTGTCCCAAAAATATCCGAGAACACTGCCAGTATGATCTTCCATTTCAAACAGGACATAACAGCAACAACAACAAAAAGAACAACGACAACCAGACAGGAATTATGCTGCAACCAAAGGAACAATATGTATATATATATATATCTATCCTAATATGCGGGCTCCAAAGTGTCACTTCTTGGTTTACCATCTGTTTTTGGTCAGACCAATCACAAATTGTCTTGACAAATGAACATTTTCTTGATCTTTCATAGTTCCAAATATTGAACATAAAGATTTGCTCGCTTCGAAAGGCAAACTTCAAAAAACCGTTTGAACAATTTCAATGCTGAAAAACACGTTCCAAATCGTTCATTGCAAGGCTTTGAACCCGTTCAAGCAGGTTCAAGCGGCATTTTTGCACATCCCAACCGATAAACAGGTGTCTATTGCGTAGAATTAAAACTATGCTCCAGCCTACACTCGCAAGGTCCTTGTGCGGATGTAAATGAGCACCAGTTGGTACGTCAGGAAGATGTTTGTTTCCTTGCCCACCTTTTCAATTTTCTCACATGGTGCCTGCCTACCTCCACGTATCTTGGGTGAATTTCACTGTTGTCTCCTCAATACATCAAAGTTTGGAAACCCATGTCACTACACGTTTCGAATAATTTTTGGGAATCATATAGATTCCTTGTGCATATCTCTCCGAGAGAATTTTCAAGCACACTTTTCTCTACCAGGAAGGCTGCTATCGCTTCCGAATTGCTGATCAGCAATCAGATCCCAAAATGAAAAGAAAGTGTCATTCGACCACAAAAAGCGCCGCAGAAATCTCTCTCATGCAGCTCACATAGAAAATCAAGAATCTAACATAAGAACACGTACAAGAATGTGTGTTAGTTTTTTTTTGGAGCCAGAAATGCCCCGTCTTGCCTAAATTTCTTGACAGCCCACAAAGGGTCACTGACAAACATCCGTTTCCAAGCAACATCTGCTCCAGTTCTTTGTGTGGACAATGCAAGGCAAGTACGGCTAATAACTCAACTTGAGGCCAGGGGTCAGGTGCGAAAGCTAGCAGGGCGGTTGTAGGGTTGGTTACTTTGCCTATCGGGCCCAGCAATCGTCTCGCAAGGCTTTCGGAGCAGAAAGACAAAATCCCTGAAGATGAAGGGGGAGGGAGGGGGGTATATCCCTGAAAGTTTCAATGTTTCCAACGGTCCTGGTCCTAACGCATCTCAGGTAGGTTCACGAGGATTTTCTCATGTCTCCAATATGTATCAATTTGCTCGCACATACCTTTAACATACCTTTCGATTGTGAATTCTGCCGCCTTGGTCGGGCCGACTAGAAAAGAAAGGAGTGTGCGCTCAACCCGCAGTGTTGCAAGTGTTGCAAGTGCCAGAATAATTTATTTTAGACATTTAAGAATAAATTTGCATATAATTGCGTGGTTTCTCTTGAAACTGAACATCTTGGTCGCCACCTCCCTAAGCAAGCCGTAAATGGGAACATGCCCAGCATCCAAAACACGAAGCGAAGTCTTTATAAACTTCAAATTTGACCCCAAGTGTTGCGCAGTTTCCTACAAAAATGAAAGAATCCACACGAAGCGGAACACGTTGAAACACGAGTCCAACCTCTGGGCCTGTAAATTGCCCAAAAACATCGCGGATTGAGACAGGGGCACGCTTCAGACTGTGAAGCCGACCGCTTATCGCCATTTCAAGCAGAAATTAACTGCAAATATTTTGTGACCACGTGTTTTTTTTGCCATTGCCAAAAGCCAAGAAAAGTGCTACTTTGAATGATCCAGTATTCAAATTAACAAAATATACATATATTAAAAATATGTACAGTATATAATGTCAACATCGGATTAATCAAACCCCCCCCACAAGGTCAGATGGACCTTGTAAGGTCTTTCCTAGTTTTCCCTCTAAATAAACGGCCTCTGAACCATAAAATTTTGGATATGGTTTGGAATCTATGTCAATTAGGTTTTCGTAGAATTCCATTGGATTTGATGAGGTTTGATTGACTGAAAACATTGGCTAAAAGCTATGTTTTTTCAAATTTTCAATGATCAGCAGTGATGGGTTCTGGTGTTCATGAGGTTTCAACTTAAGTATAGCATAAGGAAATCTTTTGAAAATAAAGAGTTGGAAAAAAACAAAACAATATTTCAACTTAAACCTTAAGTATAACAATGATGAGCTCTGAGATTGATGAGAAACAAAAAGAATTGGAAATAAAAACTTTTGGATAAAAAATGGGATTTCAGCACTGGTGGTTGATTAATTAGGTCCAGGCCAAACAGTTTTTTAATCCAGGGGGACCACCTGTTTTTAAATTACATTTTTTTGGGGGCAGTTGAGGTTGTTTAATCCAGCGGGTATTATTAATCCTAACTTGACATTAATGTGTATATATATATATTTAGTTAGATATATATACATATATATAGAGATTCAAAATAAATCAGAGACAACTCAAAATAATTATTCTGCAGCCTAAGGCAAATTTTATATCCATGCAAATTATATATATATACCAGTAGTACCCGCACGAGGCGGGGCGGAAGTTGCCTTATAAGGATATATAAGAAGTTTCTCATCTATAGAACTTGCATGCGCCGTGCGCCAGCCAAGCCCGTGCGTGCGTGCACTCTGCGACTTGCTTATATTTAGCTGTATTTTTGTATTTTTTTTTGCCTTAGATATTTTTTTGTATTTTTTTGTTTGGCTAAGCTATTTGAGAATCTCGTTTGCTTCAACAATGGCTGATTTGGAATACCCTTTGCAACCCTAACTTGTGACATCTAAGACATGTAGGGAACATGTTGTTTGTTTCCTTGGTCCTTTCCTTTGCAAATTTCAGACATATTCGCACACTTTTTTCACTTTCCATTGGCTCTTTCAATTTTTCTCGTCGAGGCAGCTGAAGAGGTATTTGAAATTATTGCTGGTTTATTTTTATTTCTCGTTTGCACTTTGGGTCACTAGCTGTCAAAGACAAGAGCAGCATTGCTGCTTTTGCAATGGCAGATGGCTTCGATCCAAGTGGCATGTCTTGGGCTTGAAATGGGGCTCACAGTTCCGTATTTTGTGTCGTCACCCAGAGCTGGAAACTTGGTTGCGCACGCCATAGGGTGTTGACTGCAGGGTTCTAGCCAAAGCGGATTGACAAGCGTCTGAGCAAACAATGAAATCACAAAGCCATACAAAGCCCATTCACATGCAAAAAAAACCTTCCAAAAGCATGAAAGGACAAAGGCGGGCTCTGGAGCTTCAGGAGGGGGGTGGCTGTTCGGCTGCTTCGGCTCAGCATGTCCACGCAGCGAGGGAGCTGTTTCGACCTCAAGTGAGGCTGCTTCGGCATTAGCGGTAGCTGTTTCAGCCAAGCCCTTGCAGAATCAGGCAAGCTGCTTCCGGCTGTCAAAGCTGCTTTGGCTTGTTTTGACGCTGTTCCGACTTCTCACTTTGAAGCTGCGTTACATACTTAGTCATTTTTTGTACATAGCAGGTCGCGATGGACTTTTCGCAAAAATGGGAATTGGCTGGGGTGGGTTGAAGCGTCAGGGTAAAGACTTTGGGTTTCTGGTCGAATCTACCAATGGGTTGAATCTAAGAGACGATTACCCACAAATATTGGGAGATTCAACGAAAGCTTTGATTTGGAGACAGTCTTGGCTACTTAATATATGTGATTTTTTGTCCTCTCCTTAGGAGCATCAAAAAAAAATCAACGGACCTCGAATCAACGGGTGGGAATGTCCTCTCCTTAGGAGCTTCGGGGTTGTCCTTGAACCTCCTAAGGGGAGGACGACAAGGGGACGAAACTGGAATACTCTTAAGTATGAGTTTTTCAAAGGCCTTTGTCCCATTGTTGTCCTCTCCTTAGGAGCCTCGGGGACGTCCTTGAACCTCCTAAGGACAGGACGAGTCCTCTCCTTAGGAGCATGCCTGAGATCCTGTGGCTGAAAACTGGCCACACCATCTCTACGCCAAAGAGGCGGCAACTGTCTCGGCTACTGTAGCTGTATTCGGCCACTTAGCTGCTTCCGCTTTTGGTGGCTGCTTTGGCCACAAGTATGCCACCGCGGCATCGACCAATGTCAGATCAGCTGGAAATCTGGAAAGGGCCGGATCTTAGCCACATAGACTGCGGCGGGGTGCTGTCTTCAGAGTCGGATGTGAGATGCAAAAAAATGACAAGTGGAAAAGTGGATAAACATGCGTTGCGGCAGCTGCAGACACCCTGTAGACTCAGTTCAGCAAACAGCAGTTGATTTATAACAAGTGCAACGAAGATTAAAAAAAGCTCACACATTTCAATTTCAAGGCGTTTCCTTCTGCGGCTGTTTCAGCCCAAGAAAGCTGACTCAGAATCAGCCAGCTGTGCACTCTGTAGTGCTAAGGACCCTTTAAATCAAGCAAGCTGAAAGAGATCTGCGCTTAGTCCAAATACGGATAGTTGGAACTTTGGGGCTCGAAAAGCGGTTTCAGAAGCACCGCAAGTTGAAATGCAGCAAGTGGGGATCTCGTGGGCCGCCTATGTTGCATATTAAGAAAGAGGGGCCAAAGATGACTTTGCCAAAGCTGAAGTCGGCTTGGTATTCCAACCGTGGCTGTTTCAGCCAAGGTCTGTGTCGGATTTGTTGGATGGTGGCTGGTTCGGCCATCAACAGGTCTGTTTCAGTTTTTAACCCAATTGCTTCAATCAAAACGCAAAAAGATATTTGCAAAACTCGTCTGCTACCGGGGGAAAAAGCGTGGCCACGGCTCTTGAGAATTTTTCTCAAAGTTGGTGTTGAGCACTGTGTCGCATATCTTTGTCGCGACTAAGTTGCAGTCTTAAGTTTGCGTTGGTCTTTTACATTCTACTTCAAGGTTGTTTATTGTGAAGCCCCTCTTGTTATGTTGCGGCAAAGTTCAAGGAAGAAAGACGTGAAAGATATTTGTTATTCTCGTTTGCACCTCTTCCTTTTTGTTGGATTTCTCGTTGAAGGCCCAAAATAAAAAAAAATACCAAAATACAGCTAAATATAAGTAAGGCGAAAGTTGTGTCCTGTTTCACATGTCACATTCGAAGCTCCACTTCGCAGTTTGCACTTCGCACTCCACACTTCACACTGTGCACTCTTCGCACTCCACACTTCACACTTCACACTCACATTTCACACTGCACTCGTCGCACTCCACACTTCGCACTTCGCACTTCGCACTTCACACTGCACTCTTCGCACTCCACACTTCACACTTCACACTTCACACTTCACACTGCACTCTTCGCACTCCAAACTTCACACTTCACACTCCACACTTCATCTCCTCTGAGCTCTTCTCACCTTATCCCAGCTCATCTCTTCTCATCTCATCTCTTCTCATATGCCATCTAAGCTGTCATGAATCACTTCCCAGTACTACTTCGAGAACTTGCATGCGCCGTGCGCCAGCCAGGCCCATGCCTGCGTGCTTTGTGCGAAGCTGTTGCAATGTTGCTGTCCAAGAACATGACCTGCGCGCGACCCCGGTGCAATGCAATGTCAGGCAAACACTTTCCTCACACTTCACATTGCATTCTTCACACCCCACACTCCACACTTCACACTTGCACTTCATCTCAACTCATCTCATCCGAGCTCTTCTCATCTCATTTCATGTCTTCCCATATGCCAGCTAAGTTCTTCTTGGCTATTTTCATGTCATCTGAGCGCAGCTCAACCTTTCTCATCTCACCGAAGCTAGTCTCAACTCATCTCGGCTCTTCTGCACGTCAAAAAGCTTGAGACACAGATGCATTTACACAGAAGAGTCTTTACAAAATACTTTGTGCTACAAAGCTTGCACAAAGCACCTTCCAGTAGCACTTTGTACTACAAAGCTTGCACAAACTACTTCCCAGTACTAATGTCTACTACAAAAGCCTGCAAAAACAACTTCCCAGTACTACTTTGTACTACAAAGCTTGCACAAAACACGTTCCAGTACTACTTTGCACTACAAAGCTTGCACAAGCACTTCCCAGTATATACTACTTTGTACTACAAAGCTTGCACAAAGTCGTTCCCAGTACTACTGCGTACTACAAAGCTTGCACAAAGCACTTCCCAGTACTACTCTGTACTACAAAGCTTGCACAAAGCACCTTTCAGTACTACTTTGTACTACAAAGCTTGCACGAAGCACTTCCCAGTACTACTTGGTACTACACAGCTTGCACACAGCACTTCCCAGTACCACTTTGTACTACGAAGCTTGCACAAAGCACGTTCCAGTACCACTTTGTACTACAAAGCTTGCACAAAGCACTTCCCAGTACTACTTGGTACTACACAGCTTGCACAAAGTCCTTCTCAGTACTACTTTGTACTACAAAGCTTGCAAAAAAATACTTCACAGTACTACTTTGTACTACAAAGCTTGCACAAAGCACTTCCCAGTACTACTTTGTACTACAAAGCTTGGACAAAGCACTTCCCCATACTACTTTGTACTACAAAGCTTGCACAAAGTTCTTTCCACTACTACTTTGTACTACAAAGCTTGCACAAAGTCGTTCCCAGTACTACTTTGTACTACAAAGCTTGCACAAAGTCGTTCCCAGTACTACTGCGTACTACAAAGCTTGCGCAAGGCACTTCCCAGTACTACTCTGGCCTACAAAGCTTGCACAAAGCACCTTTCAGTACTACTTTGTACTACAAAGCTTGCACAAAGCACTTCCCAGTACTACTTTGTACTGCACAGCTTGCACAAACCACTTCTTACACATGGCAAATGTTTGCACACACAGAAACTTTTACACAGAGACGGTTTTACACACATAGAAGCTTTTAGACACAGTAAACTTTTACACACAAAATCTTTTACACAAAGCAAGCTTTCACACACAGCAAGCGTTTACACACAGAACACTTACACACAATGCTTTTACACATGGCAAGCGTTTACACACGCACAAACTTTTACACACAGGAATTGCAACTCCAAAACCGGATCTCGGCGCCAAAGCGAAAAAAAGACGATTTTGAAACACTTTTTAAAGGGACTTTTAACAGGAAAATTGCTAGTGCCAAATTTGCGAAAATCTGCTGACAAATCATTGTCGCAGCCTGGATGCAGCCACTCCAATACGATTTACGATGTTCAGCTGCAAAAGACAATAGTATTACGCATGCAGCCGCGGCACCGAGCAACCTTGACGCAGCCACTACAATGCGATCTGCAGAGACTGAGTTGCAAAACACAATTGAACTACGCGCAACGGTGTCGGAAATTGTACCTCCAAAACCGGATGTCGACGCCAAAGCAGAAAAAAGACGATTTTGAAGCACTTTTGAAAAGGATTTTTAAAAGGGAAATTTATACCGTTAAAATTGCGAAAATCTACTCGCAAATCACTATCGCAGCCTGGATGCAGCCACTCCAATACGATTTACGATGTTCAGCTGCAAAAAACAATAGTATTCCGCATGCAGCCGCGGCACCGAGCAACCTTGACGCAGCCACTACAGTGCGATCTGCAGACACTGAGTTGCAAAACACGATAGAACTACGCGCAACAGTATCGGAAATTGCACCTCCAAAACCGGATGTCGACGCCAAAGCAGAAAAAAGACGATTTTGAAGCACTTTTGAAAAAGATTTTTAAAAGGAAAATTTATACCGTGAAAATTGCGACAGCCTGGATGCAGCCACTCCAGTACGATTTACGATGTTCAGCTGCAAAAGACAATAGTGTTACGCATGCAGCCGCGGCACCGAGCAACGTTGAGCACACAAGGTGTCGTGCTCCGGCTTCCTCCCCAAAACATAGCCCATGGCAACATTCATGCAGCCATTACAATGCGATCATAATGCGATCTGCAACCACAGCTTCAGGAAATGCACAGAACTACACCACAGGAGCAACCACTTGTTGCAAAACACATAGAAGGAACCAATCGCGTCCGGAACGACCGCAGCCGCACCCGTCGCACACACGAGGTACCTTTCATCGTCGCCTGCAGCCACTTTACACAGAAAAACACACGGTTTCGTGCTCCGGCTTCCTCCCCAAACCATAGCCCATGCAACATTCATGCAGCCATTACAATGCGATCTGCAACCACAGCTTCAGGAAACGCATAGAACTACAATGAACTACACCACAGGAACAACCACTTGTTGCAAAACACATAGAAGGAACCAATCGCGTCCGGAACGACCGCAGCCGCACCCGTCGCACACACGAGGTACCTTTCATCGTCGCCTGCAGCCACTTTACACGGAAAAACACAAAGGTTTCGTGCTCCGGCTTCCTCCCCAACTCACCACTTGCCTTCGTCACCGCTTCCCTTCCTCACCACTTCCCTTCCTCACCACTCCCCTTCATCATCACTTCCCTTCATTCCTCACCACTTCACATCGTCACCGCTTCCCTTCCTCACCACTTCCCTTCCTCACCACTACCCATCGTCACCACTTCCCATCGTCACCACTTCCCTTCCTCACCACTTCCCTTCATCACCACCCCCTCATTGTCAGCACCCTTCATCAAGGTCAATTCCACCGCTTCTTAATCTTTTGTTATGTATTGATATGTTATGTATTCTTATACGATCTACCGCCCTTCATCATTTCAAATCTCAGAATTCTATTTGTCCGTAACACGGAAGTATTGCTTCCCAACTTCCTTTGATAATGATATGTTTCTTAAAAAAAATAAATGTTGCATTCTATATGTTATACATTTATACGATATATGTTTACTACAAATGCACTCGTGTGATGTCTTGGACTTGGGGCCTCGCTCTCAGGCAAATACGTGCTTGCCAAGCTATCCAATCGCTGTGTCGGAACACACGACATCCTCATTGCGGAGCGATGTTGAAACCGAAAATCCCATGGAACAAACAGAAGCCGAAAATCCTCTGGGTTTTTCCGGTTTTCGGTCATGTTCGCCATGTTCATTTTTGTAAAGAAAACCGGTACACTCCACCGGGTTGCACAAATTCGAACGAAAAAGGCAAAGAATCAAGAAAAACCAAGGGCAGCAAGGACTGTAAAAACTGGGGTCTGGAAAGCGCATCTTTCTGCAAAGTGTCATCAAGATATTGGCAATGACAAAACATAACCCAAATATCAGCCAAACCTAATTTGCCAAAGAATTCGCCCAAACACCCCAAAATTTTCGTCCTGGGTTTCACAGCACGTACAGGTGACGTGCACGCAGCTTTTGTAGCTGCGTCATCAATCTCTTGGCACTCGGAGTCAATCTCCTGAACTGCCAAAGGCAAAGGCCACAGAGTTTTAAAGAACGCCACTGAAAGCAGGAAGTCTGACGGAAGTCTCAAGTTCCAAGTTGGCCACATGTCTCACAGCATACAGACTCCGTGGAAAATGTGACACTGTGCCTCATCCCCTTACCGTTCCATTACTTGCCGTTCCAGTACCTTTCCGTTGCCATTCCATTGCTCCCTTACCATTCTTCTGTTTCCCGGTTTCAAGAAATTGCAGGGTCTGCTGTTACTCTGCTGCGCAGGGCTCTCTGTTCGAAGGGCTGGATGAGGGTTCTCGCTCATTTGCGGACTATCTCAGGACAAGTGACCATCTAAGATGGGCACGTGCCATTGAGAAGGGCACCAGGTCTTTTTAATGCATATTTGCAGGGCTCAGAGATGTTCAGAGTCAAGTGCCCTTCTCCGGGATTTGGAAAAAATGGGACAGGCACATACCATTGAGAAGTTACGGGGAGCGTACAAACCTCTGGAGATTCCTGGCCTAGTTGCATCTTGGGCGTCATGCCATGTTAGTGCTTTGAGTCAAATGGAAAGCGCAACATAGGCTACACATGGCTACACAATGCTACAGGTATCATTCTTGATGCGCCTTCGCATATGAAGCTGGAACGATTTTCGAGAATGTTCCGGAACAGAAACCAACGCATGACATGACAATCATGACAATCAGATCATGACATGCTTTCAGAAAAACGATTCGGGGTCCACAGATACAGGATTTAGCTAGAATTGAAAGATGAATAGCAGACTTAGGTCTTATTCAAGCGTACTTAACTTATTCATACCTTATTTAAGCCTTTTTAGCACTAAATAGGACCTATTTAAACCATAAATAAGGCAAATACCCCGTCAGGTGTTGAGCAATGCGTAGCTGTGGTGCCTCAGCAATTGCCATGCAGCAGTGACTACACCAGTGAGGAATTGGTCCAGCACTTGCTCTGAAAAGCTCCTTGATCTGATCTGATCACAAGTATATCATGGGAGTCGACGGGGCTTGTGGAAAATGTGCTTATGCAACCATCACAAAACTATTCAACCACCACAACCACCACAAAAAGAAAAACACCAAAACGCAACAAGCATCAACAAGCCAGAAACAAACCACTGCCAACTGTCACACCATCAAACCATCAAGCCATCAAACAGTGGTAACCGCCAAACGACGATCAAACTGACACAACCAGGATCACCAAGGCACCAGTGGGAAAGGTTCCCAAATTCAAGGATGGGATCGGGCAAAACTCAGGCTACTCAGGTGTTCACCTGCGGCCTTCATCTGGTGCCAAGATGAACGTTTTTCCAGAGCAACATAACATCCACATGGTCCAGTATGCCGTCAAAACGGCCCAAAAGCTGGCCCCAACATCAACACAACAAAGGTTCTTTCGGGCCACAAAGCTGGCCAAGATAGGCCGTGAATACCACCCAACTGGCCCAGAAACCAACAAATCCCCAACATGTGTAGATACGTTCTTCAGAAAAATGTCAAGGCTGAGCCAGATACACACCCAGAGGGCCGACCCGTCATCCTCAACAGAAACCCAAGGAGTCTTTGAACTGCAACAACTTTAATATACACTATATATATATATATATCTATATTAATATATAATATATATATATATTGGAGCTGGAATTACCGCCGCTGGCACCAGACTTGCCTTCCAATTGATACTCATAAAGAGATTCAAGTTCTACTCATTCCAATTACCAAACATGGATGCCCTGTGTTGTTTCTTGTAACTGCTTCCCTGCGTCAGGATTGGGTAATTTGCGCGCCTGCTGCCTTCCTTAAATGTGGTAGCCGATTCTTCTCAGGTTCCCTCTCCGGAATCAAATGCTCTAATGTTCCTTTCCCCGTCATTGCCACGGTACGCCAAGACGTTACTGTCGGAAACTGATAGGTCAGAAATTTGAATGATGAATTGTCGGCAAGGCCTCACGATTCGCCAAGTTATCATGAATCACATTGAATCACCATATGACCAGGCGGAACCTGGGTAGATTAACTAATCACAACTTCTGCGAAACCGGGTTTGGATTTATTGGCTCTAGAGATACCATTGTTATCCATGTAGCAGCGAGCAAAAATACTATATAACTATATATCTATAACTTATATAACTGCTTCATGAACCATTCGCAGTTTCGCCATGTAGATGTTTATTCAGAGACATGCATGGTTTAATTTTGTGGCAGCATCAGCCAGGCTTGTTTTACATGCAGGCCCACTTGGAGATCAGCAAACCCGCACAATCTGTGGGTAAATCATAAATATTCAGCCACATACGCTATTTCACAAGCGGATTGAAAACAAGTTTGCAAACAACGCCAGCTAAGGAAGGATGTTTAAAACTATCTAAAAGGTTGCAAGTGTTTGAAAATCAATCTCTTCTTGGACACTATTTTGACGACCATGCATGCAATGAAATGTAAAAGAATGATAACTTTCCATTTACGTGTGTTTGTTCAAAATAGGCCCAAAATTGCCTAAACAACCCTGAAGAATGCCTAATCAGCCAAAATAGGACCTAAACAGGGCCTAAATAGGACCTCAATAAGCCTCAAGAAACCCTACTTTTTACCCGATACTTAATTAATCTTGATTACATTTCAAACCCTGCAGTCTGGTTTCCCTTATTCCGCGGGATGTTTCACGACGTGCTACGACATCGACGTGTCATGAACTGTCCTGAGAACATTGGGCCGACGCAGCCGACGCAGCCGACGCAGCCGATGCAGCCGACGCAGCTTCGTGGATCTGGTGCTCTTCGGCGGCTTCGGCAGACTCAGCAGATTCGGCCGACTCGGCAAGGCCGTCGGGCAGCCATGTCGGCAATGGCGTCGGCCAGTGCCAAATGCCGTCGGCCAATGGCTGCAACATCTCCGCCATATCCTGAGGGTTTTCCAAAGCAACTCAGCACTCAGCACTCACTCAGCAACTCACAAACGACATCAAACGACATCAAACGACAAGAACCCAGCAAAAACACAATCAGAGCACACGACAGATAGGTCGAGTTTCAGCTTGCGGTGTGATCCTTGGTGTGATCCTTATGATATATATATATAATATTATATATATGATATCTTTGTCTATTCTTTGCTGGCCAAGCCGATCCTGCCTTGAGATGGATCCAAGTCGGTTCCTGAAATCCAAAACATGAAACGCGCCGTGTCATGCCGTTTAAAATGTTTAAAACGATGTGAAACAATGTGAGACTCTTAAAAGTCTTAGCTGGAAGGTCTTGGCACATTGTTCAGTTCAGACTGTCATACGTGTCGATGTGTTGGCCATGCCCAGGGCCGTTGTCCCATCCGTCCTGACTCGAATCAGGAGAAACTTCCAACTCGCCTCAGTTACAGTTTCCCACGTTTCCCACCAATTATCCAATTTCTGATGACCGAATTAGATCTAAATATTGTCCTAAATAGATCTAATTGGGTCAACAAATCAGACTATGAACTCAACGAGAAACGCCCCGCACTGTTGCTTTTAGATGCGCAGTGAAAAGTTAGGGAATCACACCATGAAGTGAACGAGACAGGCCCTGCACAGTTGGCACGCCGTAGTTACAGGCCCTGCACAGTTGGCACGCCGTAGTTCCTGTAGTTCCTGGTTTTCACGGGTTATTCCGAGTTATTCCGAGTTCCGAATATTTGACACCCAAAATTGATGAAGCGAACTAAGCGAACCCCCCCTGCCCTCCTTTACCTCGATTACTTTACGATGCGATCTGGGAAAAAGTTGTCCAAAAGTGGAAGATGCGATGTCGGAAAAAAGCGCACGGGACAGAGATCGATCTAACGAAAACGCCACTCGTTTGGAGCGATTTTAGGTTCAAAATGGTGTGAGTTCGATGGCGAGACACCCTGGCGCGACAAAGCGCATTGGCACAGCTGCGCGCAGCAAAGAAATAGTGATGCTTTACGCTCCTGCTATGCGGGTCTATGCGGGTCTATGCGGGTCTATGCGGGACTGCAGCTGGAGGTTGCTAAATGCATTGCTAAACGCATTGCTAAACGCATTGTAATGATTTGTAATGGCTCGCAAGAGTGCAGAAACAGAGACAGCTCAGAGAAGCTGAGAGAAGCTCAGAGAAGAGGTGGTGCAATGAAGAAGTTCCGTGAGATGGCTTAGAGAAGACTTGGCTTATCTCGGCTTGATAGCTCAACGAAGAAATACCTCATTCAATCATTGCATTCATTCCATTTCAGTGTTCGGTTCATTCCGCATTGTTCCGTTCCATTTCATTCCATTTCTCCGTTTCAATTTATTTCGCTCATTCCATTTCATTTCCTCTCCTTTTATTTCCTTTTATTCCTTTGGTTTCCTTTCATTCATTATTCATTGTTTATTTCATTTCGTTTCATTTCGTTGGTTCATTCATGCGTTCATTCATTCATTTCTTCCTTCTTTCATTCGTTCATTCATGCATTCATTGATTGAGTCACCAACTCCTTGTTTTACTCGTACATTGATGAGTTCACTGATTCATTAACTGGTTCATTCATTGCTTGAATCATTCATGCATGCAGTCATTCATTCGATGCTTCAATGAGCGATTCAATCATTCATTCTTTCATTCATTGGTTCACCCATTCATTGGTTCACTTTTTCATTGGTTCATTCATTGTTGATTCAATAATTAAATATAATTAAATGCGTTGAATTGCTAATGCATCCGGTCATTAATTCACTGATTCACTCCTTCATTGGTTCACTCAATGGTTCCTTGAATCATTCATTCACTCATTCATATTCATGTCATTTCATTTCACTTCGCTTCACTTCATTTCTGTTCAACCCATGTAATGTTTCATTTCACTTTCATGTGATTTTACATTGTTCGTTTCGTTTCATTTCATTTCAGGTAAGAAATGGATTCATTCAATCATGCATGCATTCATTCATTTCAGTACTTTCAGTCATTTCATTTCATTCCGCTCCACTCCACTCCAAAACCATTTCATTCCATTCCATCCCATGCATTCATTTCATGTCATGTCATTTCATTTTTCTATGTGTTGCACGTAATTTGTCTTTGTTCCTTGTTCATGAATTCAGTTTGGTTCATTCACTTTCATTCGTTCATGCATTCATTTGATTTCATTTGGTTTCATTTCATATCGTTTCCATTCAGTTCAGCTCAATGCAAGTCAATTCAATTCATTCACTCATTCACTCTTTCACTCAATCGCTCACTCAGTCACTCATAGAGTCAGCTATTCCCAAACTGAGTCTTTCATTTCATTGGTTTAATGATGTTTAATGTCTTGTGATTAGCATAGCATCCATTTGATCATTCGTTGATGCACAACCTCAATCTTTCATTGCTGCATCTCAAAAACATATGAAAACACATAAATATATATATATACATTCTATTTTGGATTTCTATTTTGGATATTTGTTCATATTTGTTCATTTCCTTTTTTGGAAACTGCCCCGGCACGGCCGGGCACATCTAGTAACTTTCTCTGCCTTGCCGAAGGGCTCTGGCACAGGACCTCCGAAATGTGCCAGACTTCACTTGGCAAAGCGTCTGCATCGGTCCCTGGCCTCAGCCAGATTCAGTGAGATTCAGTGAGACGACTGAGACGACTTCAGGCTGAGAACTCCCACATTGAAATTCACCAGACAGAAATCAAGATGAAATAAAACAATACACTGACATTATACAATAATCAACATAATCAACTATACAATAACCAATCGGCTGTCTCAGTTGAAAGATGTTGAAAGATGTTGAAACATGGTTTCGTCCGCCATCTCCACAGGATTCAGTCGAGCGGCTCAACTTTGGACATCGCACCGTGATCTGCCCAATGTTCGCAATCTGCTCTATGTCGCACTGTCAAATATTGTTGCGGAGACTCGAACATGTTTCAAACATTTCACTTGCGTTGCGGTGTCTGGGGTCCGTTCTGAGGCACGTGTTGCCCTCAACCAGAAATTTGTTGCAATGTCAGTATGTGCCACGGCCTATATGATTTGCCTCTTGCTGCAACTGTGATCCACTGCGGTGAGGGGAATGAATGCAGATCTGGGCTGCAAAACTTTATACAATGCCACATGATGGACATGATGGACATGTATTCAAATGTATTCTGTATATTTCTGTATTCTTGCATCTTCAAAAAACCAAACATGTCCCCGCCACCCTTTTATGCTTCAGCGCTTCAACTTGCTAGCTCTGTTCGCTCATGAGTGTCCGCTTCGCGCAAGCCTTGGCCGGCTTGACTGGTCTTCCTGCAGTCTGACAGCGATCAAACATGATTTCAAACATGATCACTAATTGCATCTAATTGCGAAGTGCATGGCTGCATGGCTCTCACATATCTCACATGCTCTCACAAATACAGGTGGGAACTTGTGGAACGACCTCAATTTGTATTGCGTGTTAGCGGCTGTTAGCGCAGCGTCAATGCATACTCTTCAGGTGACCAGAAATGACCAGAAATGACCAGAAATGACTCCAAGGTGTGCCACTGTGCATGTTGCAGCGTGTTATTGTCAGACCATGGACCAGCCAGCACTAAGCCACTAAGCCCCATGCTAAAGAACCCAGCGCAGGGCCCAGAACAGGCCTGGAGATAAAATGGCCCAATGAAGATCCGTGAGACTTGAGACTTGACCCAATCTAACATTGAATTCCCAGCGAAAAGCTAGGGCTTGCAGGTTCTTAGTGTTGTATCTTTATGTATCTTTGGTGTTTTCGAAAACATTATTTTGTGGTTTTGGAAAGGTGTCCCAACATCTTTGAGCCTCAGCGGTTCCGGTCTGCCACAGAGATGGGAACGCAGGGCCAACTCCTTGGAGCACCAACTGCGCCATGTTCACTCCTTATGGACTGACAACTTAGGATAACTCATGGTAACTCTTGGAAAGTGATAACGCTTCCGATTTTTATTTCCATTTATTGGAATCAGACGGCCATCCCTTTCCCTGCAATTATAACCTTGACTCGCAAGCAAGGCAGCAAGGCAGCAAGTCAGCATCCCAACTGCGTTCCTATACTGCGTTCCGTCAGCTTCACATCGCTACTGCAGGCACTCTTGCCAAGTCCAATGATTTTCGATGAAATGTGCAGTATCCTTGCAACAAATCGCGCGATCTTATCTATATGTTCCCTGAAATCCGTGTCTCTCTAGATATGTCGAACCGAGGTTTTTGATTTCAAAACTTTTTTCTCTGCGCAGAAAAGCCATGTAACTACACTGAAGCCCGAAAGGGAACCCCAAGACAAACATTAATGTTCCCTTCAAAAAAATAACGCCGGCGAAGTGTTTTTCCCAAAGGGTATCATGCCTAAGAATCAGACAGGATGATGAAGGTGTTATGATGATATTATGCCTATTAATAATATGAAAACGATGATGATGATGAATCGACGATGAGGATCAGGATGAAGATGAGGATCAGGATGAGGATGAGGATGAAAGTGAAGGTTGCGGTAAATGTGAAGGTGAAGATGAAGATGACGGTGATTGTGCAGATCAAGATCTAGATCAGGATGATGATGATGATGATGATGATGATGATGATGGATGATGATGATGATGATGATGACGACGACGACGACTGCGTATGCTGGCAGCCGCTCTTTAGAAAGAATCCTTTGCAGGTGCTTTCGAGAAAAGCACTTGAACATCTTGAACAGAAAAAGAAACACGACATGTGCGCATGCGAACTATGCGAACTGGGGCCCCGGTGCAGAAGTACCGAGGCTTTGTAGCAGCAGCACCGAAGAGGCCAACATAATCGCTGGCTGAGCCCCAGGACCTCATTGCAATGGCACTGTCCAAATGGACGCATTAAAAGTTCCAATGTTTTGCAATATACATGGTTTAATATATGTGCTTAATATGAGCAAGTCACAACAGATTATA